CTTGCTGAACGTAATGGAAACTTTCGTAGCATCCGGTGTTGTATCGTCTTTTTTCTGGCAACCTGCCAGTATTATTATGAGTGCAGCCGCACCCGTTAAAATGTATTTCATGAATTGTTTTTAAAGTAGAAATAAAATGCCTGCATCCAGTCTGCTGCCTGCGCTGACATAGCCATTGCCATAGTGCTGGCTGGCCGGCAGCTGACATGTAAGACGAAGCCCCCAAGCACCGTAGTAAGATTGCAGGCCCGCTGTGATGAACGACATATACCCGCCGCTCTGTTCATTCAGCCATTTGCGCGAATAATTGTCGTAGTCGTGTAATGCATACTCGTAGCGGTAGCCGGCCATTGGCATGATCGCCAGCTTGTTGAACTTAAACGTATAAAAGCCCAGCAGTCCGGCATTCAGGCGATTACCGTATTTGTAATTTTCCTTGTTGGCCGTTGTCAATGTATAAGCCGCATCTACATTCAGGCCCAGCTTGCCGCGACGCACCGTATAATTGGTATTGACCATAAAGTCCCAGGAGCCGCTGCCGGGCTGCATATTCGGGATGCCCAGCTTGTCTTGTGCCGAGATGCCGGTATAGGCGCCTGTCGGGAGCTTTACGCCGCCGCCTGCCAGCAATTGATGCTGCCATAACGCTTCTTCCTTTTCACGGATCAGGACACGGTTTACCAGGAAGGAAATATCGCCCAGCCCCGTTGTCTTATTACTGATACCATTACTCAATTGTTTGTTGTAACGATAAGGAACAAAGCCGAAAAGCTGCCAGTTCTTCCCCAGGCTAAACCGCCCCCAGAGCTGTACGGTATGGTAGTTGTCTTGTGAATGCTCGTCCGGCTTGCCATCAAATAGCGAGGGATGATTGCTCTCAAAACTGCTGTACATATATTGAAGCCCTATAAAATGCCTGCGGTGCTGTGGCAGGATGCCCAGCGACTGGTTGCCGGATGCGCTGCCGCAAACATCACAGGCATAGGCAGCCGTTATCATTACCGATGCAAGCAGCATCAGGCCGATGAATTTAATCATTGATTCGCTGAATTAAGTAAACAGAATAATAACCACTATCCCTGAACAGGGTAGCGGAGATAATGCGTTAAATAAACCAACTTGCCAGTTATCCCGATTGGTAATGAGTAGCTACATCTTTCAGCGACCAAACCGGGCTTAGCCAAAGGCGCGTTAGCCTTGATCTTTTGGTTCTTTTGCATCAAGGCAAAAGAACTTAAAAAAGAATAGTATCAGACGGCCTGTCACGCCTAACTAGCAAATTGGGTTAACTAAGCGGATAAGGCAGGCGGATGAAAAATGCGGACCGGCAACCGGCTATCGTACAGATGCTGGCCGGCAGGATGTCGTATGCTGCTGATTACAGCAATAGGTGATGTATGGTGTGGGAGGGCGGCAGGCAATATATAAACAAGCGCCTCTGCTTTTCCTGCCCTGTCTGATTGTTTTTTAGAGGCATCATTGTCATCCACCTTTTTCAACTGTTTGCGGAGATAACATTTACCACAACATTTCATGGCTGGCTTGTCGCGGTTGATACAAAGCGTTTTTGCGATATAGTCTTTGTTCAGCTCAAACCAACCCATCACCCCTAAACGGGCAATGCACTGAGTGAGCAGGCATACAAACAACACTAAGGCAAGTGCTTTTTTCACGGGT